AAATGCTGCGCAGCGAACAGATGTATCATGCAATTTCGGTAACTCAGAACATGCCACGGATCCGGATCAGTCAATCAGGATTCCACTGTCCTTGTTGACATGGAAATTGAAATGCTAGAACAAGCCATGACCAACTTAGTGTTAAGGGAACTATATATAATAACATCTTCTTGGGGTAATGGAAACATTAGTACTTGAAGCTGTTTTTATTTTTTGATTTTTCTCTATTTTTGTCCTCCTGTTAAAGAACAATGAACCCCTCACTTCAGTTGAATCCTCTCCTAGTCTTTTTCCATTTCAATTTTACTTTAACATGAACGATTTTTGTCCAGTCAGAAGTAGTGTAATTCGTTAAAGTTCTCTCAACCTTTTGTTTCAGTGCGGTTGTCACTGAAAAACTATATGAAAATCTGACTTACATTACAGTGTATATAAAATTGAAGTCAAGTATTATTGAGTATTTTAAGGGATAAACAAGTCTTGGTAGCAAGTGTTATCCGTACCAAATCAAGGCATCCCTCTGGGACGTCTAAAACAATCGGGACTTTGCTCGAAACAGGCACATCAAAGACATAAAACTCACTCGAAAACTTACAATTCAGTTTTGCAATTTTTCTGCAGAATCAAGTATGAACAGGGGAAGTTTTCTCTAAACTGCAGGTATTCTCATTCCTTTATCTCTCTCTCTCTCTCTCATGCATATTCCAGAATGTTTCAGTCAAACTCTGAAGTTACCATGCCGTGAAGTGTTCATGCCTGTATGGTCTGAATCAAAGAAGTTTCAGTCGCAATTTTCTCTCCCATAAGAATTGACTGATCTATTCCGAACACGTGGAGGTTAATGAAACAAATGGGAACTGCTGTTTATGCTACTAACTCCCCACTAATGGGGATCGAACTAAGAACACAAAGTACCTAGAAACTTCCAAACCACCATTAATCAGTTATGGGATCTCTGAAAAATATGTATGCACGGAGCTACAGTCATACATAAAATATGCCAAAAGTGAAGATCATTTCTCCCAAATTCAATTTCAGGGGCACAAGAAAGAAAAGTATTTTGCGAGACATAAGAAGCAACCCTGACTTCAATCCTGGCTCTATCATATGACAATAGATAATTCTACATTTGTTTAGGGTCTCAACCAAGTACAGGCCGAGAGGCGAGAGCTTCAGGATTGGAATCATCCCTGTGTTGACAATTAGAAGGCTAAAAGATACACAACCTCATAAAAATGCCGTTAGTCTCTAACTAAAAATCCTATTCCATTAGTTCCTAAATAAATTATTTGTTTTAATTAAGTACATTTTCTATTTAGAAAATTTTTTCCACAATTATGAACTCAATAGGAAAATTTTTTCTAACCAAACCCGAAAAAGGGAAAATAAATAAAGTGAGAAATATTTTTGAAAAAGTAGGAAAATTTATTAAGCAGGAAAAAATGGGTTAATAGCCTAACTGGAAAATTATGTAAATTAAATAATTGTAATTAAAGAAAACATGCTTATTGAAACAAATAATTATGTAAATTAAATGATTGTAATTAAAGAAAACATGCTTAGTACTTGCTTAAGAGACTAATTAACTATCATTTAAATTATAATTATATGGTTTTTTATTACATAATTATTATTTTTAATTACATGCTTAAGAGACTAATTAACAATCATTTTAAGGTATAAAGACAAATTGAAAACTCAGTTTATTATATAAAGACAGATGAGGGCATTAGTGTGGAAATTTTTTTGAAACTAAGTAGCTATATATGTAGAGGTAGATTCCAAGTTGTTTCCCCACAATTAAGCTCCTCGATCCCTACTTCTTTTGCATGCTTATTCTTCGACAATGAGTGTCTCATACGTGAATCACTTCGATGATTTGCTAAATTTGGAGTTATTGCTTAACTGGACAATACAAATAGAAGTAACTGATCATGATGTGGATGCCAGAAATATTATCTTGCCTAAAGACAAGGTTGAAGGCTACTAATATATAGAAAGCAACTTCTGATGAAAAATAAACCCTAATATATAGCAACAACACCATATCCTTTTTTTACAGTAATGTTTCTACCCGGCAGAAACATAGGCAACTAAGAAGTAAAGAAATACCAAGAGCTCTTTCAATCCAAGTTGAAAGAAACAGAGATAAGATTTTAATGTCATTGTTGCTTTCAAGTTGCAACGCAAAAATTTCCTATAGAAAGGCTGGCAAGAACCAGCAATAAAATCATCCTTTTCTTAGATTCTACTTCTAGGTGTAAGAAATACAAAAAACCAAATGAAAGCTATTGAATTTAGTGACATTAGAAGGTAGTTATTGTTGCCCTTTTGTCGATCTTTAATATTCCTTAAACATCCTGGCCCAGGATGATTTCGTCAGGCTGTACAAGCTACAACAATTTTGTCAATTAAATACAAGTTCTCTTTTAATTTCTGAATCAGAGTTGTGTTTCTTTAGTTGTATGCTGGATTCATACAACTTAAAAGGCACTATTTCTGCTCCTCGTTGTCATAACAGAAAAAACCATTTCCATTTTTATTATTTAAAAATAATAATAAAAAAGTAATAATAATAAAAACATAAAATACAAAAATATACAAAAATATAAAAAAAAAAGGGAGGGAAACAGATTGAAATCTATCCCAATTCTGTTTTCAAATTCAGTTTATCTCAGTTGTTTAACTAATTAGGATCACATTTCAATAACAGAAGTTGAATTCAAATTGGATAGTTAAAATATTCGAATTTTAAGGTATTTGATTTAGGATGAAACTTGAATTTGAAAGTGTTTGATTTGAGATGAAACTCAAACTGTCAGTGTCTATAAAAGGGCAGCATCCGGGGGAGAGAAAGAGGAGGAAGATCGAAAACAAATGGAGGAGATTTCTAGGCTATTAAGCAGTGAATTTAGTTGTCATTTTCTAGGCAATTCGTTTCTTTTTGTTTTCTGGATAGCTACTGGACAGTGTTCTTCCGGGACTTGATTTCTGGGCAAGTTGTTCTTCACTTAGGGGAATTCTGGGAAAGAATAAAAAAAGGGAAAAGGGAAGAAATTCTGGGTTATAAAGCGAGCGTAAAAGAAAAAAAAAGGGGCAAAATCCAAGGTATTTTCGTTTGAGTTCTGGTTCTGCGTTTCTGGGTTTTAGTTTGAGAAGTTCATCTGTTCATCACCCGTGCTTCGTGTTCATAATTTTGGGCTTCGATTCTAGGAGTCTAGTTATCAGTTAAGCCATCAAGATCAATCATAAACTCACTTATCCCTTGAAAGTCAGTCCGACATTTGGTTCTCCTTCATTCACTTCATAAGACAACAATCATTTATTTCAGGTCAATTTTTTCCCTTTTTACCCAGTTTGCGATTCGTTCATTGCTGTCATTTGATTTTCATGTTATTCAAGCTCTAATCTTAGTTTGTTGAGATGAGAAAAACGAGAGCCTTTGATAAATTAAAAAAAAACGTGAGTTGACTCCTGTGAAATCAAGATAGAGGGAGTTAGAAAACGAACAGAAGTAGAGAAATAGGAACATGAATGAAAAGAGTAAAAAAATTATGATGAGTTTTCATTTAATCCAAAAAATAAAATAAGAGGAGGTTGGGTCTTGTTATAGGTTGGAAGTCCAGCTTAAGGCTTGATTTTTTTAAAATAAAAGATTGGGACGTGGGTTGGGTTTAGCCCAACCCACAAGAATTGGAAGGCTGGGCTGAGGCTGACTTCTACCCAACCGTGGGCTAGCAAATTTTTTTCAAAAAAAAAAAATAAGGAGGAAAGAGGCCGGACTTGGATTCGGTCTAGCCTCCCCTTCCCTTTCCTCCAAATTTAGAAGAAAGCTGGAGTTAGTTCAGCCTTCACAAGGAAAAAAAAATGATGAATAAAGAAATAAAGAAACGGGATGGTAAAAGTGAGGAGCTGGAAATGAAAAAAAAAAAAATGGAATTGAAAAGTGGTTATATGAGAAATAGGTTACAAGATAGTGGGTTTAGGGTCAAGCTAATTTATTTTAACTTTTTTTATATAGCTTGATTTTTTTTTCTTTTTCTTTTTTGTTGCAGTGCTTTAAAGTTGGTATTTTAATTTTTAAGTGAACTTATTTTCGTGTGTTGTTAGATTAGAAAAAAATTATAAAAAACAAAAAAATATCTAAAATTTTTAACGAAGTCTCCTATCTGATATCTGATTTTAGGAATTTAAAACTAACTCTGCAAATAAGAATTTAATTTTAGGAAGGTTCGTACGACGTCGGACAGCGACACTCATGTTGCCCTTTTGTGTTTCTTTAGTTGTATGCGCAAAAGTTTCTGATGGTTGGTAACGATCGGACAAGAGTAGTATCGAGAGCATGCCTTCATTAAGGCTAGTGGATGAAAAGCATCCGATGACAAGTGTTTTCCAGCACATCAGTAACCATTTGAACTACGAAACTAATTTGAAGTAGATTAATATTCAAGGAGTTTGATGTGGAACCCAAGCTAATAGAATCTTAAATCAAGTAATAATTTAACTAATCTCATCAAATTTATCATCCATTGTTGTTATCGCTATCTATCCAGAATGAGTTTGTCCAACAATTTGTCATCTCTTCGATAAAAATCTGCTTAAACCAACATAACTTGATTCAAAATTTATTTGTCTGAGTCGTCCAGAGAGAATTTCTAAAGGTCAGGGTATCCATGTCAAACAGAGTCCAGATGGCTGATGTTTTCCCTACGTGTAAAACAACTGTCTGTTTAAAAGATGCATGAAAAGCAGATATTGCTAAGACTTCTGCATCATTAAAATTTTCCAATCTGCTAACATAAAGACAATTCCAAATTCGGAGGATTGAAAATGAATCATTGAATCTTAAAAATCTTTGACCCATGCACGCATGTGTTAGTGCACTAACTCACGAAGGTAAGCAATAGCTATAGTGACAAATTACGTACATAATAAAAAAAACTACTGTATTTTGATATTTCATACACAAAGTTCTCCATATATTGCCTTTACAGATCTTCTCATCTTGTTCGAAAAAGTTCAAGAGGTAAAGTTTCCAGTGCCAGCTGAAATTCAAAAAGGATGGTTTAGATGCAAACAACTACGTTTCCTCTACAATGAAATTGGGAGAAATGCTCACCCAGAGTCTTGGAGTTCTGGGATCAGATTTTTTATGCAATTTGGACAACTCTGACTGAAAGCTGATGACTATGGACACTTTGAACTCAATTGAAAATGGACTGCATAAAGAAATCAAAAAAACAATAGACAATAACAATAACCACAAGGCATCAAACAATTGCATTTAAGAAAGACAAGTAAATGTTAGTATTAAAGGACCATCTCACCTAAAAGCTTAAGCTGATAAATGAGGCTCCAGAATATAATTTATATTAGTATCTAACACACCCCCTTAAGTGAAAGCCCCAACATTTGTAATTTATATTAATCTCTAACAGTTAGCGAAGCCATGGTCAAAACAGTGGGTACTGCTAGGGAGGGGAACAAATTCACAAGAATAGCTCGCAGAAAAAGCTCAATTGTAATATGTATAGCAGACACTTGATTCCTGAGTGTCAAAGGGACCTTTTGCTGCAATTTGAACAAATTCTAAGAAGTGAGGTTTGCATAGTTGTCCCACCTTGTATCAAACAATTCTCCTTCTATATGAAATACTACAATTTCCTTTCTATTGGCAGTCACCCCCCTAAAATATAATGAAAGAGGTTGCTAGAGGAAAATTAGAGATTTAGAACTACGAATAGAGCACATGAATCGTCCCTGAATATGACTTATGGAATCCTAGGACCACTAGGCAGATTCCACCAGGTAAGATGGACTTCATGTCCTTTGATAAATTGAAACGCCAGTGACATGTTTATGCTTTTAACTCATAGAGCTATAATGGATTTTTTTTTTCCCTTTTCAAAACATCACTCCCATCCCTTTTAAAGATAAATACAGAATTGTTTTAACTTGACTGTGGGAAATCTTAATTCAGTATGATTTGAACGTAATTCTGGCATAGTTTTGCCTTCCATCTTCATGCAGACCCAAAAACACAAGATAAAACAAGAGTCAAAAGAAGTTTGCAACTCACCCAGCAAAGACACTCGGACAAGTCAAAAGGCGAGGGAGGATAACATAGATGGGCAAAGTCAGATTACGACAGACATCTCCATCCGCTATCTGGAAAACAGCAGAGAAAAAAAAAGGCTTTAACATTGAAACATTGGATCAGTTGAAGTAATTTGGCAAGGTACAGAACATAGCATGCCTGTGTAGTCTGAATCAAAGAAGTTTCAGTCACAATTTTCTCTCCCATTAGAATTGACTCTACACGAAGCAAGTGTATGTCAATGGAGGAGATGGGAACTGCTGATGCTTCAACTGTTAAGTCTCCACTGATGGGATCCAACAAAGAACACAGAGTAGACATTCTTCCTGTCACCCGAAAACCACCTATTCAATGAAATCTATAATCAGTTGAGGTATCTTTTGGACATAAGAAGCTGCATATATACGATACTCAAGTGCCAGCATCTACACAAATACATGCATAAAAATGCCAAAAGAGAATTAATTCTCAAAATTCAAATTATGGGTGGAGGAAGAGTCTTAGCTAAGATTACTAAGCAGCACACCTGACTTTAATTCAGGAAGCAACGGATGTCTTTGAGTGTCCTGAGTAATATAAAAGATAGCCATTTCAGAAGAAACTGGTCGCTCAAGAAGATCAGCTGAAAATACAACAGCATCATGAGAGAAAGAATAGTACTTACTCCACTATCTATAACACATATATTATGAGTAAAATCAAACCATACCTTTATCACTTTCAACTATAACTTCCATCGTTGTAGATAGCGATTTATGAAGGTAACCTCTTGCTATATCTACAGTTACCAGATACTATCACAGAACTCATCAATCATCAAGTCTTACAGAAGTGTGAAAGTAATTATATGAACACATTAGAAACATGGAAAATAATAATAATAAAAAAGATTAATTTCAATTCAGCATTTCTTCTTTTATTAGGCAAAAAATATATTCACCTGGATGCTAATATTCGTTCCATGAAAGGTCTCGTAAAATCTTTCCAAATTTTTTCTCCGGTTTGTTTCAAAACCACAGCAAATGGTATCTGCCACAACAAGCAAACACTGCAGTTAACAAAAATAAAAATAAAAATCCCTTAAAACATGAGAAAGCAAATTCTGAGGGACGAGACTAGCCCACTTACATCGGCAATTTCCAATTACCAACTATTTCATTATTTAACAAAAAGCTAATTCAAACTAAATTTGAAAGAGTTGTTTGCTAAATATATACCTCATTTGTACCCGAATCAATCTTTCCCGATTGTCTCACCTCAATGCTCTTATTCCTGCTTTCATGCCAAGTAGCATTTTTAAACAATTAAGAGTAATTCTCTGCTTGAATATCCATCCATGACTTACAATACACAAGAAATCACATGTCGAGTCCACCGATTCAATTGACTATGATTCATAAAGTGATCCCTCATTTATAGTTTATAATGAGTTCAATTTTAGGGAATATTAACCCAAAACCAAACATTTTAAAAGAAAAAAGAAATGCAGCAATTTTTTTTTTCAAGAATTATTTAACATTATACACACTTTATACAGTAATTTAAAATAAGAAAGAAAAAATAAATAAATAAAGAGAGGAGCAAAATAGAACTAGTAGCATACACGATGGTGATAGGCTTGACAACACCATATAAGGATTCAAGAACACCAGCTGATCCTCCTCGAACCTACAAACAAAACAAAACGCCAAATCAGTTATATTTAAAACAAAAAAAAATCTAACAAACCAAATAGATATATAGAGATGGAATTCTCCTGGAACCTGCAAGTTGACAGATCCGTTGACGGAGAGGCGAATTCCATAGTGAGAAATTGAAGAAGGAGATTTAATCACGATTTTGCCTTCAACAGGTTCCTGAAATTAATAAATTAATTAAAGCAATGATCAACAACACTAATTAAAATTTATAAATTTGAAATGAATTGAATGGAGTAATATTGTGTTTAGAGAGAGAGAGAGAGAGAGAGATGTACAGAGGGGCGATAAATACGGCTGGACCGAGAAAATTTAAGGTCTATTTTAGTTGACATGGCTCCAACTCCAAGAGAGAGTTGAGCACAGATTACCGAGTAGGGGGTGGAGAATTGAGTTGAGCTGCTTTCGAGTTTGGGATCCTTACTGTTCTCCCCAAATGCTACATATAGTTTGCTTATTAATTCGGAGCTGCCGCAGGTAACTTCATTTCTTGTGACGGTAAATTTTTTACTTGCATCAGTAATTATGGTAAATTTAAATAATAAGAAAAGTGAGTATTTATTTTTTATTTTTTGATTTTTCAAAATTCAATAATAATTTCAATTTATTGGATAATCAAATTCAGTAGCAACTCTCTTGTTGAATAATACATGTGATTAAAAACAGCTCCTGGACCTTTGGATTTTTGATAAGTAGTTTATGAATAATGCCGGTTTTGGTTCAAAAATATATTGCTTTTGTCAAAATAATAATAATAATAAATAAATGTTATTCTTATTTTTAACTTCCCTTCTTTTATTTTATTTTATTTTATTTTTCACTTTTTTGGGGTGGATCTCAATTCTATATTCCTTGCGTTAATCTCAACTCTCGATGCCTCATGATTTCAATTAAACCTGAACGGAAAAGAAAGAAATAAAGAAAAACAAAGAGAGCGCGAAAGGGTTCAATAAAAAGGCTAAGGGATAATTACTCTATGAGCAAACAAAGGTTTTTTTTTTTTCCAATCAAATATATAAATTTTAATTATTTTATTTGATTACATTAATTTTTTAAAATTAATAATCAAATATTTTTTCTTAACAGATGACGGGCATGTTACCTTCAAAATAACAAATTATGATTTTCTACATGAATTTTAATTTCTTATATTTGAATATATTAATTTTTTTCAAAATTATCAATCACGTGCTTTTATCAATTTTTTTGTTAACTAATAATGTATTCGAATATGAAATTATGTATTTACTCTCTTTTGTTGAAGGGAAGTTTCTCGCTAAATTATTTTATCATTTCAAAATTTGACAAAAAAATTTTATAAAAACATAATTTTTAAGCTATATCATCCCAAAATAAACTCAATTAGGTTATTGTTGTTAAAAAAGAAAAAACTTAGTTGGTTTTAAGAGTGAAAATTGAAAAAAAAAAAAACACAAATGAATCTTCTTGATAAAAAATCTCATTTTTTGTGTTTTCTTCAACTTTTGTGCCAAAACCTTATTGTTTTTTTTTTTTAACAACGAACCTAATTGAGTTTAATTCAGTATTTTATAACTAAAAAATTATATATTTTTTAATTCTTTATCAAATTTTAAAATAGTAGAATAATTTGGAAAGAAAGTTTCTTACAACAAAAAAGAGAGAAAAAAATGCAATTTAGTATTCGAATAAATCATCTCGTTAATGAAGAAATTGATAGAAATACTTGATTGACGAGTTTTGAAAAAAATTGATAGAGTCAAAAGAAAGAAATTAAAATTAATATACTCCATTGGGAAAAAAGAAGATAAAATTGTAATTTGATATTTTGAGAGTAACGAGACACATAATTAGTTAATAAAAAAATTGATGAAAGTACAAAATTGATAATTTAGAAAAAAAGGTGTACTCAAATAAAAAAATAAAATTCATATACTTAATTGAAAAAAATTAAAAAATACTGCATTAGTAATGCAATTATCTCAATCCAGAACACTCTCCATTCAATAATATCATTACAAATTCAAGGAAAAATGGTCTAATTTGTTATTATATAACAAGACAGTGTTCAAATATGCTATTGTATCTTAAAATGAATCCATTAATATCTTGTGAGTTTTCGATCTATCCTTTTGATGAATTTTTCCAAGTCAAATTATTTAAAAAATCACCTGACTTAAACATGAATATTTTTTTTTTTTTTTTTACTGAAAATGCCCTTAAAATTGATATCTTTTAAGAGTATTTTTAGACAAAAAAGAAATTAATCATGCTTAAGTCACATATTTTTTCCTAATAAGTTTGTCCGAAGAATTCACTAGATGAATATATTAAAAACTCATTTAAAACAAAAAAATATAATAGAATCATTTTAAAATATAAAAATAAATTAAATACTAATTTTATTATATTATATAAAAACAGATTAAACTATTAACTCTAAATTTAATTAACTTTATCTCATGAACTGTTATTAGAATAACACAAAGTGACATTATCAATACGCGATAAAAAATTGAGACAATTAAAGTTGGATGTCACGCCGTGGCAAGTGCTAATGATTCGTATACAGGAGTTTTGGAAAAGATAACTAGCTCTTAAAAATAAATTTTTAGTCTTAATTTTTTTTTATAACACAGTGCACTGAATATATATGTGTGTGTTTGGATTCAAATACATGAATTTGATACCACTAGACTAACAACACTAACAACTTGTTGGTATTTTGATTTTCTTTTGTTATAACAGCAACAATAAAGTACACGGCAGGAGATGGACTAGTATGTTTTCATCACATATAGAATTTATTTAGATACGCATCCTTCAGTATGCATGCATGCTCTTAGTTCTTAATTGGTCTTACTCGAGGGCCTTGTTCTTAAGGACCAAAAACACCAATAAAACTGGCATTCCTTGAACTGACATACAAAGCCAAACCAGACGCTTGAACTTCGCTGATAAGAGTACTGCCATATTGTGCCTCAAGAGACACAATTTCCGAAATTCTGCCAGATCCATCAACCCTAACTCTTATGGGCGCTAACGTTTGTGTACCTTGTTTAACAGTTGCAGCTGCCACCCAAAAATCACCCAATGTTGTTCTCTTAATGTTTTGTGGCCTCACAATGTTAATGTTGCTTAACAAAATTTCTGCAGTATTGGCTCTGGGTCCTGTGAGCCAATATTTTCGAATCCTATTACCAAGAGCCTCTGAGACAAGGAGATATGAACCATCTCGATCTACTGACTGCAAACCCCACCGCTCTTGAAAGATTTCTTAATAACACGGTGACTTGACTACTACTAGGGTACCAAAGAGTTTATAGTTTAGTAATAGTAGTTTCTTGCCACGAGAGGTCACGGATTCAAATTCTAGTAAACTAGTTCTGTTAAGAGGTTTGAGTGTGTGAAAGGAAAAAAGAAGAAGAAGAAGAAGACTACTCCTCGGGTAATATTTCAATAACCTTGCTGTTGAGTCATTAACCTGGGCAGCGTTGGAGGAATTCCTGCGAAATGAGATGCAAGACTTCAATTTTTTTTTTTTCATGATTTGTAATTCAATTCAAATATGAACAAAGAAAAGAGAAAGGAAAACACTACTAGACTGGGTCGATATATATAGCATTAAGAAACACGAAGGGTTGCCCTTCAGCACTAGTAGCAATTTGTCCAGCAAGACTCCCATTTGAGTTAGCAACTAAGAGCCCATAATATGCATCGTCTATGCAGAGCAATCTTGTGATAGGATTATATGCCAAGCCAAAAGGCCTTCCGCTGATGGGTCCTATCAGTGGTGCATCGCAAAATGTTACAGTCCTACGAATTTTAGATACCACTAATTGATCAGCAATTGTTCCAATATGTGACGTAGGATTTTACCGGTTTGGTGAGGTAAGGGTAAAAAACAGTCCAGCCAGTAGGTGGTTGATATCTAAGAATATGACCATCATTAACACCTGTATAGAATGCTCCGCCAGGAGATTCAAAGGCAACAGACTCAGGACCAAAGTCTGTTGGCGGCAAGAAGATTTTTCCGAAAGATGCAGAGGTAACAATAGTAGGAAAGCAGAAGACAAAAATGGATAGTATCGATGCCATAGCCACTACAGTGCTTGGGAAAACAGCCATGTTCGGGATGGAGAGCGATGATGCTTGTGCTCTACTATTTATAGGCAGCTTATATAGGTTTACAACTTCATATATACAGAGAGAGAGAGAGATTTGAGAATCGAAGACCATATCCTTTCCGGGGTATGGCACTAACCATGAATATTGGCTGCAATATAGAGTTTCAAAATCTTCCAGAAACACTTTACCCCAAAAATGTGGCAGAATTCCGGGGACCGGTTAGAAAATCTTTGCTCGTCCAAAATAGTTATCCATATATTGGAATCAAGTCAATAAAAGTGAGCTGATCCTCTGAAAAGGGTCAAAAGCTTATATATATATATATTCTCAAATGTAAACCTAATTTCCAATAAATTATTGTATGTTAGCATCCTCTATCCAAGCTAATATATTTATAATGTATGATTTTCACGTGACTAACATATATCAATTAATACTCCATCCATTAACACATCATCGCAAACCTCTTGAGAACATGCATGGCAGAAAAATAGTAGTACGTATTTTACTTAATAATGATAAAAGCGATTAAAAATAAGACAAAAATGAAAAAGTAAAGAAGCTGATAAAAATAAAATTAAAACACGATTCATGAAGGATTATAGGTTAAATAGAATTTATAAATAACGAATTTCATATTTATATAATGCCCTTTTATTGATTCTATTCAAACAGCCGCAAAATAATCCAATTTATTCATTTTTTTTATGTTTTTTTTTTTCAAAAACACAAATGTCTGTTATAGTGTTAGTTTGAAAAGAAAAATTGAATGAACGAATCTATTAGAAATAGTGATTTTATGTCTAAAGAAATTAATTAGACATGTAAATATATATATCGGAAAAAAACCATCAAATACAAAGACATGTCAGAGACATGCATGCAAGTACATCTATCTTTTTATTCGAATTTTAAAAAATAATGTTTGCAGTATTAACCTAGTTAGATATTTCATATTAAAACAAAATCCTCAATAGTTTTAGCGTGCATGAGTGTATCAAAGATCTGTAATAATATTTATTTATTTTTGGATTTGGAGCTAGAAACTGCCTGACTATAATTTATTAAAAAAACTAAAATATAATGTTGGTTTATATACTATTTATTAGCATTGTTCTAAATACTATTTACTCAGCTTATATGCATTGTTTATTTTACAATATTGTAATATTTTTATAGTTTTTAAATTTTTTAAAGGCATTTATCAAAAGAGTTTTCATAGTATTACATTTCGATTTCTTTTTTTTTTTAATATGTTTTTTGGTCTGTAATTTTTTTGTTTCATTTTTTTTTTCTCATATGTGTTGTTCTTTTCATTTTGGTCCCTGCATGCATGCAATTTTTTTTCTTACATTATTATAAATTTTTTAGTTAAGAATGTAGATAGAGAAATAAAAAATTAATGTTTTTTTAAAGAAAAATTATGAAAAATATAAAAAAACAGTCAAATATAAAATTTTGATTATTTTTTTTAAATTAAATGAATTTTTATTTAATATATTTTAGTAGATATACAATATAATAGGGAGCATCAAATTGATTTTATTTATTTATTTATTTTGGATTTGGAGCTACAAACTGCTGGCTATAATATCTACACCAAAATATTCACCCATCAATTCTCTCACAATTGTTTTAGTTATCAGTATAAAACTTTTGGCACTTAAAATGATCTGATCAGTGTCCATAATTTATGACATGTAACTGTTAATTTTATGTCTTCAACCAAATTAAAGACATTGGGTTCAGGAAATTGTTGCTAGAAATGCAATTCTTATTTGGTCCAGCAGCCATCCATGATTCATCATTGGTAATTAATCAAAAAAAGAAAAGGTAGATAGCTAGTAAACCTGGAAAAGGCATCAACATTCAATTCCAATAAATTTATTGATTCCCTTTTATTATAAGTTGAAGAAAAAGTACACAGGAAGAGACGTTTACAGCAGATATTTTATTTAGACGCATCACCTAGTATGCGTGCTTGGTGTTATTTGAGGACCCCGCTAAGGAGTAAAAACACCAATAAAACCGGCATTCCTTGAGCTGACATATAATGCCAAACCAGACTCTTGAACTTCACTTATAAGAGTGCTGCCATATTGTGCCTCGAGAGATACAGTTTCCGAAATTCTACCAAATGCATCAACCCTAACTCTTATGGGCACTAATGCTTGGGTACCTTGAATTACAGTTGCAGCTGCAATCCAGAAATCACCCAATGCAGTTCTCTTAATGTTATTTGGCCTCACAATGTTAATGGAGCTTAAGAAAATATCTGAAGTACCGGCATTCTGTCCCGTGAGCCAATATCTTCGAATCCTATTACCAAGAAACTCTGAGACAAGGACGAACCTACCGTCTTTACTAACTGCAGCCCCAACTGCTACTGAAAGATTTCTCAATAAGACGGTGACTTGATTAGTCCCCACATCATATTTCAATAACCTTCCTGTTGAGTCATTAGCAAGAGCAGCTTTCGAGGAATTCCTGCAAAATGAGACACAAAGATTCATCTAATTAGTTTGATGATTTATAAACTCATTTCGTTACTAACAAAAAGCACCAAAAAAAAAGATACTGCTTGTACAAATTACTAACAAATAACCTTAGATCGTAGACAGCACTAGCATCTGTAAAATAGATGTTTCCTGTGTTAGGATCCATGTCCAAACCATTGCAAGCAATTAAAGGTTGCCCTTCAGCACCAGTGGCTATTTGTTTAGCAAGTCTCCCATTTGAGTCAGCAACTAAGAGTCCATAATAAGCATCCGCTATGTAGAGCAATCTTTTGGTAGGATTATATGCCAAACCCATAGGCCTTCCGCAGATAGGTCCTTTATCAGGATCAGTGGTGCCACCACAAAATGTTGCAGACCTACGAAGTTAGATATATAGCACTTGATCAGCATTTGTTCCCGATTTATTTTTTAAAAAAAAGAAAGATTGGTGTCCATAATATTCAAAGAAGATTAATTAAGAAACTTTCAGAGTTATAATCGATTTAGGTGTATGTGAGTAGGATTTTACCAGTTTGGTGACGTAATGGCAAAATTTGTCCAGCCAGTAGGTGGTTGATATCTAAGAATATGGCCATCATTAGCACCGGTATAGAATGCTCCGCCAAGAGGTTCGAAGGCAAGGGACTCAGGACCAAAGTCTGTTGGCGGCAAGAAGATTTGTCTGAAGGATGCAGAGTGAACAATAGTAGGAAAACAGAAGACAAAAATGGATAGTATTGATGCCATAGCCACTACAGTGCTTGGGGAAACAGCCATGTTTGGGATGAAGAGTGATGATATGCTTGTACTCTAGTATTTATAGGCAGCATATATAGGTTTACAACTTGCATAGAAAGAGATTTGAGAATCAAAGACCATATCCTTTCCGGGGTATGGCACGCTAAGCCACTAACCATCAATATGGGCTGCAATATGGAAGAACTTGCCGTTTCAAAATCTTCCAAAACAAAAATGCTTTACCCGCAAAATGTGGCAGAAGTTTAGTGACCAGTTGGAATAGATCTTTCCTGACCCAACATTGTATCCATGTATAGGATTCAAGTCAATGAAAGTGAGCTGATCCTGTGCTAGAACCAAAAGCTTCCTTGAAATTCTTCATCAAGTTGTTTCTTTCACATATATCGAACAACAACAATACTCGGATGATATATAAAAAGAAAAATGAAAATATGATGATGTCCATCAAGACTTATTATACCATAAAATTACAAACTTAACATGTTTTAATCATTTTGTCATATTCTTTCAAAATTCGATGAAAAATGTATAAACTGAGTTTTTGTAACCATGTTAACACAAGTGAATTTTTCCGAGCAAGACTCTGATTTCTGCTGATGTGGCAAGACAAATAAAGTGATGACAAGAACTAAATACCATGTAGGATCCCATGTGACATATTTCACAATTCTAATTGAATTAAAATCCACTTTCTCCTGATTCATTTCCAATTCTCTTCTCAATTGAATTAAAATTCTCATTCCTCCAATTAATTCTCAATTATCTTCCCAATTGAATTGAAATCTTCATCCTGCAATTACTCCAATTCATTTCCAACCACCAATGTCACCATCAGCAACCGCCACCCACCACTGTCATCGTTCTCCTCCACGAACCTCCATTGCCACTATCATTGTTCTCCCCTTGTCAAAACTCATTTAATCATCCCAAAACAATATATCTCCTTCACTGCCAGCCATTCCCTTCCATGACCATCTCTTTCACAAGCCCACTACCACATTTCCTCCATCCAAGCCAGCCACATCATTATCTCCTCTTGCTTAACCACAACAACCCCGCCATAATGTCTAACCTCCCAACAGCCACTCTTAGAAGCTTAAACCCATATCAGCCACACCACCAAAACTCCTCTCCACAAACTACCACTTTTATAGCAGATCTCCACACCTAGCCATTGATCTTTCTGCTCCATTAAATTTTTTTCATTTCACCTTATACGACATCATTCTTTCCCTCTTCATCTCTCTCTCCCTTTGTATCAAAAACAATCACCACAAAAGTTTTGATCAAGAGAGCGAGCAAGAATTCCATCGATCGAGAAAGAGATAGAGGAATTACAATTTTAATTGATCAAGAGTGAGAAGATCAAAGAAGAAAACGATAGTTAAGGATAAGGTGAAAAGTTTGTAGAAAGGAAATTGAGGCAGTTGATGCAGAATAAAATTCTTTCTGTAGTTCAATTCCGTTAACGCATTGTTTGATAATCAGAAATAGAGTAGTGATAATGAAAATGAAAGTTTTATTTCTACATTATTGCAATTTAGTTAAAAGGAACGAAGTGAGAATGAGAATGAAGAGAGATAAATAATAAAATAAAAATAAAAATTACATAAAACTTCATTCTTATTTAAAATGTGAGAATATAAACAAAGAATGAAAATAATATTTTTTCAAAATAATAATATATTTATTTATTTATTGTGTATTAACTATTTCTACCACTATCACTATAACCACAACCATCATCACCGTTGCAAGAATCACCACCATCACAACAATAACAACCACCACTACTCTCACCATCACCACTATAGCTATAACCATTACCACCATTACAAGCATCACCACCACAAGCACTACCACTACCATTACTTTTATTATTTTTATAATCATTATAGTTTGATAAAATTATATTTTAATTATTATTTTTATTTGTATAAAAAAATAGATATTAAAAAATTTAAATTGCATTTCGATTCCTCATTAATATTCCAAACATTGTAAAAAAATACAAATATCTGTTCCGATTCTCTCATTTTCATTTCGATTCTTGTATTTTCATTCCGGACCTTTCGTTCTTGATAATCAAACGACACCTAATTGTTGAGAGAGCAAGCAAGAATTCCATTAGTTTTATTCCTTCTAATGGCAGCATCAAATTCTTTCAATTGAGGATTTCTATTAATAACATCCATTCTTTTGTTACTTTTAAAAATTATTAGGATTTTGTTTGATTAGCATGTAATTTTAAAATGGATAGTTAATTTCTCAAATAAGACATGTAGAATTCTACGTGGCAAATTTAGTCATGCTCGTCATACTAACTTCCACACCACGTAAGCTTAAAACAAAATTTAAGCTAAAAAAAAAATTCATGCTAATATCGTTATTAGAAACTTAGTTCATTTATTTTTCATCTAATTTAAAAAAAATGCCAAAATTAATTATTAAAACATGTTAAGTCTATGATTTTATGGTACAATAAGTCGTCCTTTAAAGAGAAAAATTTTAAAATATTAACTACCAATACTGAATTTACATCGTGGATTTACTTTGAGGATAGAAATCTCAAAAAGAAAAAATAATATCTAGACTTACCAAAATTGATAAAGAATATTTCCATTTAAGGTCAATTTTTTTCTCTCTTCTGTTTTTTTTACTCTTTTTGTCTCTCTTATGAAGTATTGGTAGTTACTTTTTGAATACAACAAAATTTTTCATTACTAAAATTGTTAATATTTATCAATTTGTTAGTTAAATTTTATTTAAATCGACGCAGTTAGTTCATTACAGTTCTCCAATTCTAGCTAGTAATGGAAAAATTGTTAACATGTTTTTTTGTACCTTTATGATAAAATATTATAAAAATTATATACATATATATAGCCCTCGTAATTTTGAACTTTTTCAAAAAACATTTTTATAAAATATTATAAACATTTTATTAAAAAATTGTTTTTTATAATTTATAAAATTAGGGATTCGACCTATAATTATGCTATTTTAATTTATAATATGTTTTTTAAGGCCTGAATCGTTTTTTTTTTTTTTGTACAATAACATTTTATAAAAAAAAATTAAAAAAGTTCAAAATTAAGAGGTTATATATCATGTTTATAACATTTTGTAAAAAAAAAAAAGTTCAAGATAAGAGAGGTTAAAAATATTTTTTAAAAAAAATTTTTTTTTAAATAATAATTAACAACGGAATGTCAAAACGATGTCGTTTTTGCATTCTAAGTAATTATCAACTCAATTGACTATTATACATAATGAAGATTAGGCTATTTGGATCACATTTGCTCAATCTTCAATACTTTGGAATTCAAATTATGTAATTTGATACTGCGAGTCCAAAATTGTCAAATCGTAATAGAACAAGGACAAAATTTATCATTAAATTGAATATTAACTATGAATTTGTACACATAACATCAACCATTTGCTATTATTATTTTAATATTATAAAATTATTTTTTTCAAATAAAATAGTTAAAATAATATTTTATCAACCAATGATTCAAATACAACTTTTTATGTTAATATTGTTGATTATTTTCTAAATATATATATATATATATATATATATATATATATCAAATGCCTCCACTTTCAAAAAAAATATTTTTCTCATTTGTTAATTTTATACAAATTTTGATATTAATCTACTTTATTTTTTCGATACAATCTTATGAAAAAAAAATTAAGACATTTATTAAAAGTTTAAATTAAATTTTTTATTTAGATTATTGCAAATTTTTTATTTAAAAATCAACACATAAGAAAGAACAAATCATTTTTTAAGTAGAAAATTTATGAAAAACATAAGAAAGAGTTAATTAAATAATTATAAAATTGGTTTTTTTTTTTTTTTTTTTGTCTTTGATTTAAAATATTATTGTTAGTACAGACTATCTAATTTGAAATATTTTTTTCAAATGATGTCCGCAAACAACAAAGTAGTTTGGTACTAAAGAAATTGATATTTCCTCTTGGCAAACATTGAACCGATTATAATAACTTAACTCCTCTTGATCAACCAGTATGATATAACAGTTTAATTTGATGTGTTAACCAGTTTGATATAACACTGTAATTTGATGTGTTTTCCCGTGTAATCAATCTGGATGCAACTATACATATTTCGAGTTTAGGTCATGAAATCAGCCACGCATTAAGCTTCATCCATTTATTGCACTTTAAATCACTGTGCCAGCCACTGTTCTCCTTATTTTGTCTAGTTGATTACTCCTATTAATCAGCAAGTTCAGTTCTGTCTGGCTCTAAAGAATTGCACTTTGCTTGTTCCCAACGACAAGGTGGTAGAGAGAGACCGTAGGGAGATGAAATTATACATTCTTTTAAATCACCTCTAATAAGCAAATACTGTTAATGTACAAACCAAAAGGAAAGAAAAAAAATAAAAAAAGAACATTTCTATGCAATAAAACAGGGAAACAGATTCATAACATGTATCATTAATCTTACTATATTGCTATTCCGCACCCATTTCCACTTCTGTAAGAGCAAAACTACACCCCCTATTATTACTGCTCCTTTCGAAAGCTTTTTATTCGGTTACAGATGTTCGCCAATGACCCCCAACATTAAACCTTCACCATTTATGATTCTGTGTAATCAAGTATCAACATGGAACTTCCTTGACTACTCTACAAGCAGATACTTTGCCAGCGATTTTCCAGAGCAAATACCTGCCCAGTTGGTTGAGACACTCAGCAATGCTGAAAGGAAAAATATGTTAATTACAGATGTTGGTTTCACATAGAAAAAAGCTCTTAGACCTTTTTCCCATGCTACTAACTAGTTTTCATTAAAACTTTACCAAGGACAAAATTTAAGACATGTCTCTCAAAGCACCACATACCAGCCTCATCTTCACATGTATCTACCGACTACCAAGTAATCCCCCTACACTAGACTCCAAAAAATGCCTGCTCATAACAAAATAATCCATGTGAGCTATGGTCCTTGTTGAAACAACCAAACACAGCAAAAGATAGTTTGAGGATGACGTAGAATGTCAACGAAATAGTTCCATTCTACATTTTCTTTAATAAGAAAACAACAAGTAAAAATAACTGCAAACTAAACATGTATGTAAGTCATGAGAAAGCATTCAAACCTTACAAGAGCTACTATGAAACAGTAAACCCACACTAAACCCCTGCTGCTGCTTTAACATCGCGATCTGCCTTTCCCTGATGGTGTATACAGCCAATAACGACAATTAAATACAAAAACAAGATATTACAAATCATATAAATCAAAGTTAAACTGAAGTGTTGGTCATCAATGCCATAAAATAATCAGATACTAGTGAATCTAGGCTCAGCAGTTCATGAAAGAACTCGAATACCAATTTATGCCAGAGATGTTACAAACATGTGCATAAAATATTGATAACTGGCTTTACAGAAAGTATGTGGCTCTAAAAATTGAACCAAGAACTGTCAAATGACAGCATTCTTAATTTATTAAGTTGTTCCAAAAGTTCAGTTACCAAGATGGAAAGCATATTCTATCTTAACATTGATATAAAAGGTCTCTGCTTTCAACAAACCTCAGATGGAGGACCCTCTCGAATCTTTCTGGCAGGAGTCCTCATTGTAACAAACTCCTCAGCTGTTGTTGGGTGAATACCCACTGTAGAATCAAAGTCTACCTTGGTCAAGCCAGCTTTGATTGCAACTGCAAATCCCTGCAAGTTTAAAAATTCAAGAACCATATGAGTTACAGAACTTGTAAATTGACTTCACTGAAGCTGAAACCATTAACTAGAACCAACGAGAAAACCTGCACAATTTCCGGTGAATCTTCTCCACACATGTGCAACCCGAGAACTTTGTTCGTCTTGGCACAGACTATTAGTTTCATAAAGACACGATCTGGAAGCCCTGAGAGAGTAGCCTTCAAAGGCCTGAAATTAGCTGTGAAGACATCAATATCACCGTACTCTTTTATAGCCTGCAACAATCCTTTCAGGAAATCAATCTTAGCTGTTACAAATAAAATTGATAAAATTATGATGAAAAAAAGTATCATGTATTTCAGCCATTTGCAATTCAACAAAAGATGTCCACAGTTTTGCACTCAAGATGACACTCAATAACAAAAAATACCATTAGCAGCAACAAGAGGTTTAATACCATTAGTTGGATGAAGAGGTGGCATGCCAGTTACCTTTGTTTCGTTGAACCTCTTTCTGCCACCCTGTCCCCAAACTAACAGAATAAAGGCTCTTGCTAAATGCTAACAAAACTAACCACTTGAAACTCAGGCCAAAGCAATTTCTGTCATTGAGGCACAAATAGCTAAAAACATAAGACTCTTTGTGCTTTTATCCAATTAAAAAAAAAAAATCACCTGCTCTTCAGTAAGACCAACTTGTCCAATTGGAGGCTGGGAAAACACAGCAGATGGAACAGCTCTATTAACAGGAAAAAAAAAAAAAAAAAAAAAAAGTTTGTCATGATCTCAGCCAAATAGCTATAAAGTATCTAAGTAACTCTTTGTCACTCTATCCTAAACCTCCTTGAGCAGGGAAAAAGTTGGCCAAATTCTTCCACCAGGAAAGTTATTAAAGGTCTCATCATTCTGACGCATATAACCCAATAAGGTATGATCATACTACTTAGCAATAAAAATATCCAACATCTTTCAGCTGTTACTAATTTATATTAGTTGAATTAAACTTCCACCCAGTAACATACAAGAATGAATGTGCATGCATAGATTTCACAAGCATAAGCAATTGTTGCCATGTTAATGACTTGGAAGTTTAACTTTTAGTCTACCCAGAATGTTAGATCACGGCTGCTTTGAGGTTCATTTGGAATTGCAAAACCATCAATTGGTGAATGCATGCATTTTACAACCATAAGCAATATTTTCCATCTTAACAACTTGGGAAGTTTTAACTTTTAATCCAACAAAAAGGTTACAACACACCAGGGAGCATAAGCTTATAAAATGATCAGTTCTGAGACCAGATTGTATCCAACATTATAAAATCATAACTGCACTACTGGTGGTACCTATAATCAGGTTTTGTTGGCTCATTCTGAAAGAGAGTTTTTGCCAATGCCCCACCTTCCATCAAAGCAACAGGAGTCAAATTTATCCTATCTGTAACATCTCCAACTGCCCAAATGGAAGGAACAGAGGTGCGTGAGTATTCATCAACCTGGAGAAAATGAGAGAGATATTTGAGAGAAAAATAAAACAAAATCGAGCAGAAAAAAATCCAAAACATCAAGTGTACTACCTCTATTGCTCCATTGTTGGTCATTTTTATTCCCACACTCTCCAATCCCAAGTTCTGCAATGACAACAAGTGGGCATTACATGTATTCATCCCTTCAATATCAAGTACATAAATTAAATTGTTTGAGAATGAATCATCAAGCACATTTAATCATGAGTGTTGTATTTTTCACAATTAAAGACACCACAAGTTTACAGATAGAGTGGTTTGAACTTTGAACTTTTCCTTTATCTGTCATTATGGATGTATAGTTGGAAAGTCACATAAATGCCTCCACGTGACAATTTTAACTTGTAGCTGATGCAAACCCAACTAGTAGACTTTTAGGAAATTTTAGTTTAGAAAGAAAATAGGGTTTAATTTTTATATTCTAGTTTTATTAGATTAGCCTTAGGACAACTAAAAGGGGCTAGAGGGGAAGCAACCAAAGAAATGAAATCTCAAACCTTTGTGTTAGCCCGTCGTCCAGTGGCAAACATGACATGTGAGAAGCCTTCAACTGTTCCTTTGTTGGTTTTCAGTGACAATGAGCCATCTGCTGACTTAATAATAGCCTGAGGTGACTCCTCTGTGTGAAACTCAATTCCTCTTAAAGACATCTGTTCTGCAACAAAATCTCTGACCTGAAGAACATGCAAAGACCAATTAATTAAGAGGTAATTGTAAGTCTGTATCAAGTAAGCTACTAGCATTGCTCACAGTTCATCACCTCTTCATCAAAGCCTCTTAATACTTTTTTCTGCCGTATAAATACATGAACATCACTCTTCAATCCATTGAAAATGCCAGCAAACTCCAAGGCAATGTACCCTCCACCGACTATCGCAATTTTCTCTGGCTTTGATGGCAAATCAAGCGCAGCATCAGAGTCAATCGCGTACTCACTACCAGGAATATTTGGAAAGAACGGGCGCCCTCCAACAGATATAAGTATGTGCCGTGCAGAATAGAGCTTTCCATCAACATCAACTGTGTGTGGGTCCACAATCTACATTACATTAACCAACATAAATTCAAAAACTGCAAAAAATATTAAAGCACAGCTACACACTTATATGGCTTCAAAGCATTATTCTACCTTCCCACGACCTTCAATCAATGTGACACCAGCATTATTCAGAATGTTCTTATAAATACCGGTCAGGCGCTGCAACTCAGCATTTTTGTTAGCCATCAAAGTACTCCAATCATGAAGTGGTTCATTGTCATACTTCCATCCAAAACCGCGACTCTCATCAAATTCATGAGCATATTTCGACGCATAAACAAGCAATTTCTTCGGTACACATCCACGAAGTACACACCTACATTATATAATTACAAAAAAAAATAGTAATAAAAATGTTGATTCAATTCACATGTGATTTTCTTCTATTCAATTAAAGCTCTAAAATTCAAAATCGCAAATGAAGTGTTCAACCACGTGTCCTCTACTTACGTGCCGCCTACGCCTCCGGTGGTCTCGGAAGAGATAGTGGAGAAAGGAAGCTCACACACGGCAACAGAAGCGCCCAAATTGGCGGCGAAGCGGGAGGCGCGGACTCCTCCACTGCCAGCGCCGATAGTGAAGAGATCGAAATCATAGTGGTGCGAAGGTTCTGCGCCGTTTTCGGACTCTGCGCGAGTATTGAAATGGCGGCGCCGGTGGCTATGGTCGCGAGAGAGAGGGCGGCGGGAGGAGAGGGAACGAGTGAGAGTTAGGGTTTTGGGGAGGAGGAAGGAGGAGGACGAAGAGAGAGGGAGTTTTTTGTAGAGGGATTGAAGAGTTGGGGAGGTGAGTTTAGGCGTAGTTAGAGAAGTGGCTGCTGCCGCCGCCGCCGCCGCCATATGGTGTTAGCGTTGTCTTTGCTGTTTTTTGGTGTTGCGGTGTCTAGGTGTAGTGGAAGAAAGGCAGATACCTCATGCTCGGTGGGAAGGAAAGGCGAAGAGAGGATTTCTATTTTTCTAGACCGTTCATGAGGTGGGGTCAACTAGGAGTTGTCAACATTGATCATCGGACACTTAAGTCTATCTTCCTAGAAAAGAAAATGATTTTTAACAACAAAGATAACCAATATTAAAAATAAAAAAATCTGACATGATCACTGTTCACACTTACTGTTTATATACACCCATGTTTACTGTGTACCAACGCATATCTACACTGGACTTCTACGTTTTTCCGGCTTTTATGGCCTTTTTGTCAAATCACTGTTCAAAACAATAATTAATATTGTTCTCCTATCTATATCTGAAATTTTAGATCTATGCTTGTCCATTTAAATTACTTTGTTAGCTACTGTAATCCTAATTTTTTAAGTTCAAGGTGGTTATTATTGTGTCTTATGTGTTTGGTATATCCCTAGATACTTTTATTTTTTGATTTTTTTTTATATATAAACACCATCTATATGTCTTCCATCATCTATTAAATTTTAGATCTTTACGACATAGGATGACCATCTTTTTAAGTCATTTTGTGTTTTACAATAAAGTGATTTCTCAAATTAGAAATAGTTTTTGTCATATTTTAAATGTTTGAGGTAGCTCTATATATGTTTATCTCTTGATTTTTTTTTAATAAATATAATCTATTTGTTCCTAATCTTTGTTTGAAGTTTTATATTTTTTACATGTAAAATAGTTGTCCATTTAAATCCTCTTGTTGGCGAGGGCAATCGTAATCTATGAAACTCGAAATTGATTGTTGTAGTATTTTACTTGTTTGACATGTCCTTGGATGTTTTTACATTCTAATTTTTTTCATATGAGTATCTTATACCTGTCCTTGGTTATGTATAAAATTTCAGAATTTTAAGATGTATTTTGACATTTTATTTGAATCTAACTCGATAATTGCTATATTTATAATATAGAATATGGAATTGTCAAGTCTCCTAGATTCTAAGGATCGACGATGATTTCATATAGGATTTTGGTTATAATTAATAAATGATTCTTTATTTTAGATTAATTAGGAAAATCAAATCGACCTAACGAGTCTTTTATTTAACAGGGATGGACGTTAGTTTTGACATCTCGATCAAAAAAAAAAGAGAAACAAAAAAGAAATTAGCAAAGATAAAAACAAGTCAAACTTTAAAGATCATTAGTTAATTAGGTCGTTTCTCGACATGCCGGTTATGCTAGAATTTAATTGGATCCAATGCTAAATTGATGAGACTTTCGATTTTGGAGCTCGACGTCAATTTAATATGATGTCACTTAGACAATAAACAAATTTGGAAGTAGACTTAGAAAATAATTTCACAAAACTAATTCTTAAGAGATATTTTTTAGGATTAAACCAAATATGGTATTTTTTTTCGGAAAATGTGCATTCGAGTGATCATTAACTTCCAAAAAATATAACAAACTCGCTTATCCGAAATCTCTAAATCCAATGCGTTCCTAGTTTCTTTAAATACTATGTGACGACGCTAAAACCTTTGTTAACTCTTATCCCTTAAAACAAAATTAAAAAATCTAAACAATTTTTATTTTTTGAAAGTCTCCTAGATATCGAGTAGCGAGAATGACATTATATAATGACAAATAACAACATTAGATATAGTAACGTTCTTATTCGTTGTTATTTATATGAAATGACAACGGGTCCCTATAATGTTAAATAATAGTAACAAGTGTCTCAAAACCATTATGTAATGGTCGTTACGTTATGTAATGATTGTTATTTGAATTTATGTTTGTAACTCAACATCTATGGCAACTCGTCCATGCAAGTAGAGTCTTGTATTGCTTGAGAGTAAAAACGAGGCTCAACGATACACTACCGTAATATTAGGCATTAGCGATGGTTTAGACCGTCACTAGTTCCCTAAAAACCATCGCTAATTTTCATTAACGACAATTTTGCGACGAGTCTTAAAACTATTCGTAAAATGTCACTCGCTAATATTTTATGATAGTTTTATGGATCGTCGCTAAATTTTGCGACGATTTAACAACGAAACAAACCATCGCAAATAAAGGAGAAAATGGTCTAAAATTTGCGACAATAATTTAAACCATCGCTAAAACCATCACAAGTTTACGGCGATTATTGTTCTACAAGTCGCAAAATTAGCAAAGTAGCGACGGTTATAAATGTCGCTAATAATAATTTATTTTCCAAATTATTTTTTAATTTTACTTGTATTTTAAATCTTTTAAATTAACCAATTTAAAATTCCAAAAAAACCCAAAACATAATATTTAAAAATTTCATAATATTTATTGTTAGCACCTAATTTTTGCTCCTTTTTCTTTATTTATTTATTATTATGAAAATACAAAACATAATTAAATAAAAATAAAAAATAGCAAAAGAAAAAGAAAAAAAGAATTAGGATAGTTAGTCGAGAAAAAGGGGTTTAATTAAAAAAATAAAAAGTTAAAAATAATTAAAAGAAAAATTAAGGTCATAGAAGGAAAAAAAAATCAAAGTTTCAAACATTTTAATTAAAATGAGGAGGGATACAATTGGAACCAATTAAAATAAAAAGTCTCAATTATTGGTAAGATGAGGCTTAAATTAAAACACAAAAAACAAATTGAAGCCAAATTAATGCATGGAAGAAAATCAAGGACCAAAATGGTTTGCCAAAAAAAAACATATCAATATAAAGCCCATGCATTTTTATCACAATAAAAAAAAAAAACTAGTTACCGTAACTTTTTCTCCCTCGTCGACCATCACGCTCTCTTGCCCATTCTCTTCTCTCGTCTCTTGCCGAGCCAGCCTTCCTCTCACCTACCTCTCTCGCTCAAACATCATCACCTCTCACCAGCCTTCCACGCCTCCATACTAGCCTCACCTCTCGTCGGCCTTCCATGCGTCCATACCAACCTCTACACGCCCATAGCCACAATACCTCGCTCTTCCCTTTTCGCCAATTTAATGCTAGCACCTTCAAAGCCACTAGACTCGAGCCTCTTTCACGCCCATTGCTCCCTCTCTAGCCCAAAAAATAACCCTCTATCACGCCCCCTAACGACCCTCAAAAACCCCTACGGAGTAACCCCTTTGCCGGCATTTTCCTCACCCAAAACAGACCACTAAAACACCCCCAAGAAATCTTTAAGATACCCCCAAAACACCTTCAAAAGCAGCCCCAAAACTAGCTCCAAAATAGACCTAAAAATTTACCGAAACCTCCCAAATCATCTCTGAAACTCGTTACCAACGACCTTCAAAATCCCTATAGAGCAACCCCTTCGGATAGCCCTTTTAAACCACCCAAACACCCCCAAACCAACTTCAAAACCACCTAAAAAACTCCCCAAACACTCACCAAAACAAACACAAAACCTCCCTCAAAACAACCCCCCGAACACTTTTTTGTGTTACTCGAAAAACCCCCAAAACACCCATTAAAACAGACACAAAACCCCTCAAAACAGTCCACCGAACACTTTTTGTGTTATTGAAAAAAAAAAGAAGAAAAAATTTTTTTTAAAAAGAGAAAAATAAAGATCTTGTGTTGTGGTTTTGTTGTTGCTTTTGTTTAATTTGTTTTGACAGGAAACATATTTCAAAGGAGATTTTAGTTATACTAATAAGATCTACACCACACGTTATCTACAAATAGGCACTCCTATTTCAACTAATCGAATATTCAATTATCATTGGGAACAAAAAGAGTAAGACTAACTCCAAGCTAGATTTAGAATCATAGGATCTTTGGATAAAAATTTTAAAGCTACTATACTTTTAATATATGGTTCGCGTTTGTTTTGCGATTGGTGATTGATTGATTTTGGTATGCAATATGGACTTAAAGCTACGGATGGTGTTTGAAATTATTTTGTATGTTTTTGTATCCGTTTTCCATTCTTTATATTTCTTTGTTCTCTATGTTTTGTTGTTGGTTTCTTTTTCTTTTTTGTCTTTTTATTCCCGATTGCATCATATCTAAAAATAAGCCATCGGTAGCTTTCCACTTATGTGACGAAGTCATCGGAGGGCTTCAAAATATTTTTTTATTTATTTACATGTGTAAAAATAAGTCGTTAGTAGCTTTTCACTTATGTGATAAAGTCTGTCGAAGGGCTTTAAAATATTTTGTTTATTTTTCCGATGTTAAAAAATAAGTTGTCGGTAGCTTGTCACTTATATGACAAAAGCCGCCAGTGACTATTCAAAATAGTCATTTGCTTTTTGCTTGAGCAACATGAAGTTGCTAGTGACTTTTCACCTCTATGATAAAGTCATCGGTAGCTTCTCATATCCATGACTTGAAGTCGTCGACGGCTTTCCACTTATGTGAGTGAAGTTGTCCGTGACTCGTAGCTCATGTCGATAAAAGGCTATTTATCTTTAGAAACTCACCTCTTTTTTTATAATAGGTCGTATTCGCTAATGATTAGTTGAAATTCTAAATTTCCTACCTTTTTTCCATTTGGGTAGGACGTACTAGCCTTAGATCGGCTTTAACACCCAAACTATTCTATTTCACGTTTGAACCATCTCGTACCATAACTTTATCAAATAAATTCACATGATTAGGTATAGAAGCATAACGGAATAAAAATGAAATTTTTTTATTCATAGACAAACAATGCGAGTTTACCTTAGGTAGGATAGGATGATGGTGACGTCATGTCTTTCTCATACGCCCATACGTAACCGACCCCTTATTCAGATATCTATGTAGATTAGTATATTTAGGGTTTTCCTAGTTCCTCTAATTAGCTAGGTGACGGCTCCTTTATGTCGATCCCTTTTCTCACTTGTGTTAAGTCGACATCGACATTTATTATAAAATTTATTAAAATATAATAAATATTTAATTATTAAATTCTTATAAAAAGTAGAAAATTTATTGTTATTATAAGAAAATATGAAAGTTAGGAGAGATCAACAGTGGTCATCACTCGGAGGTTGGGTGGAATCGTCGTCGGTGTTAAGCACCTCGGATGAACCGCCTCGTCGCATATTCAATAACATCCGTTGCATCTATCTCATCATCCCATGTTACTCGTCGAATGTACTCCTTTAACTCAATTGTTGTAGCCAATAGGGTTGTCACGAGTACCTCGTAGATCCCGGATCTCGACCTTATGCATTGCATATAGATCATCAAATTCATTTCATTGTGCCTCATACTAACATGGAATTGCGAAGTTTTTGAACCGAAGGATGCACTTACGTTAAAGTAATAGTGAGATGTATGTGATTCGAGTCCGTACATCCTCTTTCTCTTACCATCTCCCTTTCCAACGACGTTCCGAAAAATCTCATTGATGTTGATCTTAGTCAATGAAGCCCCTCGATCTATCGGCTAGCAACCTCCTCATCAATTATTCTTTCTACGAGTCTCGCATAATTATGAAATATACAATATTAAACAGTTATATTAAATAACGTTATAAATTAATATGTATGAAATAACGTTATAAAATAATAACTTACTTCGATAACTCTTTATCATTGATCAACGAAGGCATATTAATCATCAATCTTTTTTCTAATGAGTCTTCAAAAAAACTCGTGAGGATCGAGTTCACAATCTAACACCACACGCCGAAACAAATATACATAAATATATTAAATATACTCAAATATTTAATTAGTTATCTTGATATCATTTTAAAAAAATATTATACACACACACACACATGTGTATTGCATGCTCTCTACGGCTAATTGACCCTCCCCCGTATGTCTTGAAGAACTAGCTCCGACGCCACTAGTCCCATTCCTACAGCTTCAGCATCGCCATCTCGCATCGTGCAATTGACTCGAGTTTTTCCCATTTTGCACATCATGCATCCCATATGTCATATGAGATACGGGCTTCTCTTAAGAGGATAAAGGAAGTCAAAATCCGCTTTTGTGCCATACTTTCTCATGCTTCTTAACGTTTCTCTCCATGTTATTCTCCCACGTAAATGACTTCGCAAGAAAAATAATAATATTCATTCATACATTTAATTGGATATTATTTTTTTATTTAAGTATAAATTAATGTAATAAATTAATTAAATAAATTAGTACCTTAAGCTCTTGTCGGTAGAATCTTTTGTTTATGGACTCATGTGCTTCCACATCCATCCGGATATGTGAACATACTTGTGGAAGATCTTAAAGATCCGACAAGCCCAAATATCGAAGGATACAACTTATGAAAATAGGCATTAATTTAACAATTAAATGAATACATGATTATGATAATAAAGAAAAAATATATTTCATAAAATTATACATAAAACATACTCATTGTGACCAAAGATAATGACCGTAACTTGTGGATTAATCGTAGATCCAATAGGTTTTGAAGTTGATGTGGGAGGGACGTTCGCTCGAGAACAAAACGGTTGTCCTTTGTGATAATGAGGACACCGATGAAAAGGAAAGAAAAGATAGACGAGGATATGGAGGTCCAAAAGGATACCGCTCAAGCCGAGACAAGTCAAGCCAAAAATGGTTTATCGTGGGGGCACCGGATGAGTGGTACGGAGGCATGTCCACGAGGGGATCCATTCGACCAAGAAAGGAAGGAGAATAACGTCCACATCCACGTCCACGATCATTATCGAATTAGTATCCGAACCGTGACCCTTACCATATGACATAGGTCACCGCATACGAGAATGTCCCCCGCCTCGAGGTATTATAACCTACACATTATTAAATTCATTAGTATTAAAATAAAATATTAATTAATACCGACATATAACATTAATGTTACTATGAACAATTTTAAATATATTTATTTAATGAAAAACAAATAAATAACAACATGGAGACCCTCGTATATTTGAATTAGGGTTAAATTAATTATGCTAATTGTGATTAATTTGTTCATTTTTAATTTTATTTATATTTCAATTATTTAAGTACTTGTTATTTAAAATTAAATTAGATTTGAATTTGAGTTATTTAATTATTTTGTATATAATTATTAAAGCGTGCTAAGATACATTGTAGTATGTCAAACCCGAAAGTTCAAAGACTCCTAAAAATTGAGGAGAAATAAGATTGGTCAATGCTTTGCAATGGAGCTGGAATGATGAGTTTGAGATTTAATTTTGATAGAGTATTCGAGATAAGTACTCGGTCTAGATGTGTGCAAAATAATTATTGATTGATTTAATTTCAATATTTGTATGATCATTTGGAGTAATTTGGAAAGATGCAATTTACATGGGAGACTTTGCTGAAATTTTTTTAGAAGTTTCAAAAACATATTAATTAAATAATTGTGTGTTGTCTCGAAAATACGAAACAAAATAATGAAGTCTAGTTATGTATGAATGTACGTTAGGTATACCGCTAGGTATTTAAATGATGATTTCATGAATGGAGTTAAAGAATTTGCTACATTTGTGGTATCCTGGTGGTGATATTCGGGAGGTTTATGTCGAGTACGAAGATAGGATCAAGAGGATGGAAATTACAATCCATGAACAGAGCTAGTCAATTCAATACTCTATAAAGTTAGATGCGAGATAGTGATGAAGTTGTTACTCGGACTCCGTAGCAAACTCATGTCCCCTATGCTAACCCCCCACAACCCAGGAGTCATTTGTTCTTTTAATCCTTAGTAGTCGAAAGATGATGTATGAAATGATGAGAACTAGATTTCTTATTTTTTAAAAGGTTTTTAATTTTTTCGTATACCTTAACATATTTATATATGGCTTAATATTTCAAAAAATCATGAATTATACACATTTTAATGATTTTAACTCATTCTTTAAAAATTATAAAGAAAGGTCACCGATTAAGCCTCTAATAACAATATTAGCACCGATCCGATTTTTCGATCAAACTTCCGAGCAACGCCGACATGGCGAGTGACAACACATGACTCGTGGACTTTATCAAGCCACGTAGTATCCATGTAAATATGACACATGGACTTTAGCAAGCCACGTACGATACACATAAACAAGTGATGTGAAAAATCGCTTACATGGATCTTATGTGGCTTGCTAAAGTCCACATATCATGCTTATATGGATCGTCATGTCAGCAATGTTCGGGATTTTGATCAAAAAATTAGATTGGTATTAGTATTGTTATTGGAAGCTTAGTTGGTAATCTTTTTATACAATTTTTAAAGAACAACTAAAATTATTAAAAAGTGTATAGTTTGTGATTTTCTAGAATATTAAGCCTTTATACATTATTTGATTTTCAATTTATATTATTTTAATTTTATCAATAAATATATCGTGTTTTAATAAGGTATCATTTTTAATTATTTGTTACTACCATTAGCATTAAATAGCTATCAATTTATACATATATATAAAAAAATTTGTTTAGCGATGGTGATCGAATTAGCGACAAAAATTAAACCTCTTTGCGACGGACACATATGCAATTGCAAAATAACTACAGATTTATGAGAAATTTTACCAAGTATGATTTAACGATGGATATTTTATCGCTAGTTAGTGACGTAAATGACCAATTAGCAATAGTTTTGTGATAGATAACGATTGAAAAGATGACTATTTACTTTGCTTTAACAATGAAAATTCTACGGATTAGCAATGGAAAAAAAATATGTTGCTAAGAAAATAACAATAACCATATTTGCTACCGAAAGTATATTATTGCAAATCCGTCACCAAGACTAAATAGCAACGGATATTGACGATATAGCGACGTGAAAAATCTATCTCTATTTTTTGATTTTCTTATAGTGCAATTCTTTCAAATACTACATAGGTAAGGAATTAAAAACTATTAAATAGATTTATTTAGTGTGTTATAAAATATTATCTTTTCATAACTTAATTAATTACTCTATAATTATGACTATAACGAATAATTATGTACAAGTTCACTAAAGAAATACCTTGTACCTCATAAGAAAAAAATATAATTTATTGTGTTACAAAATAATTTATTTATTTTTTCATAACTTAAAGGGCTTTTATTTTGCATAAAATACTTAAAATATATATTTTTTTAATTTTCCCGTATTTGTTTCTTATAAAATATTTTGTAGAAATACTTGTCAACGTAAAACATTGTACAATCTATATTTTGAAGTTAGTTCATTTCTTAGAAAATACTTTCAACTCAACTATATAAGTAAGCTATCACAAACTATTAAGTAGATTTATTTATTAAGTTATAAAATAATTAATTTATTTTGTATAACTTAATTAATTGCTCTACAATTATGATAATAACGAATAATTAAGTACAAGTTCACTAAAAAAATACTTTGTACCTTAGAAGAAAAAAATATCATTTATTGTGCTATAAAATTATTTATTTAGTTTTTTCATAACTTATATGGCAATTGTTTTGCATAAAATATTTTAAAAAAATGTTTTCCGATTTTCCTACATTTGTTTCTTGTAAAATATTTTGCAAAAAAACTCGTTCAACGTCAATATTTTAAACTTAGTTCATTTCTTAGAAAATATTTTCAAGAAACTTCATAAAATATTTTATAAATAATCCTTCACTCAATATATCATCCAACAATTTAAACATCCACCATCCCATTGCCACCACCACTCATCCACCCCCACATTTACCACCAATGCCACCACCATTAACTAATAGTCACCATAACATAATATTATCATTCTACTGCCGACATAATTTTTGCATCATCACTTACGAACGACTTAAAAAAATTTCCATATCAAATGTTTTTCCAAGAATAACATTTAACATGTAAAATATTTTTCAGCCATAAAAATACTTACACAAAACAAAACACCCCCGATTCACAAAAAAAAAAAAAAAAAAGAAAAAAGAAAAAAGGAAGAATAAAAAAACAAAACAACCTTAAGTGATTGCAAATTACTAATGAGTGCATCTACTTATCGCATCATAAATTTTTATCCTATTGGCACTATGATTGATAGGGGTGAGCATTCGGTTAAACGGTTCGGTTAAGCATAATTCGGTTCGGTTTTTGGTTAACCAAAGTAGAAAAAATAAAAACCGAAACCGAATCAAACTTAATTCGGTTAATTCGATTTGTAACCAAATTATTTCGATTCGGTTTTGAAATAATTCGGTTTAACCGAATTTTTTCATTACTTCTCCATTTCAAACTTTAGACAGTTCTCCCAAAACTTTCATTTATTTTTTCTTTGCCTAAGCCGAGTAATTAGCAATGCCGAGCTAATAAGTAATCACTTTCTTTTCTAAAAAGAATTCAACACCAAAAAAAAAAATTCGAGTGAGTAGGCCTAGCGTCGTAGCCTACGCCCACCCGAGTAGGCTTACGCGGCGAGGCTCATCGGCCACCCGAGTAGGCCTACCGGCCTACCGGCCGCCTACTCGGGTGGGCGGTAGGCCTACCGGCGATGGCCGCAGGCGGCCGCATGGGCCTACGGCAGTGGGCGCAAGCCTACTTCCGGTGGGCACGAGGCACTGGCGGTAGGCTACTACCTACTATGGTTCTCTTCTCTAGTTTAATGAAAATGAAAATTTACAATTCCCACTTACCGACTAAACTTGCACAAACAACGAAATAAAAAATCAAACTTAGTAACTTACACATACCACATACCATTCATCACGCCAAAACACCATCAAGTCATCAATCCATCAAGATTCAATCACTTGTAATAGAGGTAGTGGCAAGTGGTAACTCGAAAATATAAGATAAAGAAATTAAACTTTTAATATTAATATAAAGGAAAGAAATAACAAATGAAAAGGTAAGAGTTATAAAAATTACCATCTTGCATTTTCTCAACATCTTGCAAATTTTCTTCAATAATAATTGGTGTCGATGAATTTTTAATCCAATCTTGAGCACATATAAGAGATTCCACTAAGCTAGGAGTCAAAGAACTCCTAAAGTAGTTAAGAACCCTTCCTCCAAGTGCTAAATGTCGATTCCGAGGAAACAATAGAAACAGGAACCGCCAATATATCCCTAGCCATTTGTGAAAGGATGGGAAACCGAGGAGAATTGGTTTTCCACCATTCTAAAATCTTAAAATCAGCACTATTATTTTCAGCACCTTCACTAAGATATTTATCCAACTCCGTTTTATTTCCTCCACCTCCAACATCACACTTGTATTTTTCAAAACGCATCATTATCTCCCTTTTTATTCTAATTTCTTCTTCATTAATCATTTCTTCATTTGCACAACCCACATCTATTTCCCGACTCCCACTACCTTGGCCAATTTCACCTTGAGATGTTGACGAACGACAATAGAAATCATACATAGCATGCATAGATTCCTTGACAATATTTGACATTCTTTGACCCTTCAAATCACCATACAATTCATTGATTGAAAATTCAATAAATATAAGTTTATGCCTAGGATCAAGTATTGTCGCAATATAAATCAACTTATTCATTTTCTTAATATCCCCCCAATACTTCTCAAACTTTTCTTTCATTTTATTGGCCAACGTAAAATCATCTAAATCCCCACTTCGTTGCCATTTTTTCAAAACATGTTCGAGAGCATAAATCTCTTCAAAATAAATATTTGAAGTCACATACAAAGAACCCGAAATACGCAAAGTGAGATTGTAAAAAATTTTCAACATGCCCACCAACTTCTTACAAGACTTCCAATCATCAACATTAGGTGGTCCAACAACATTATCACCATGATCTATATCAAATTCACTCCTATATAAAGGATCAATTTGCTCATATCTCTTAAAAGCTCTCTCAAACTTTGAGCCGACTCTAACATTAAGTATGTTGAATTCCACCTAGTAGCAACATCTAGTTGTACCAAACTCCTAGAATCAATTTTCTCAAGTTGAATACATTCCTTAAATCTTTTCAACCTAGCTGGAGATTGCCTCACAAACCTAACGGCCAATCGAATACGAACGATTGAAGGATTAAAATGTTTTAACCCATCAACAATAACTAGATTCAAAGTATGTGTCATACACCTCATATGAATGAATTCACCATCTAAGATGCTATAACCCCAATTCTTAATCACATCTTTTAAGTGCCTAATTGCCACATCATTTGAACTCGCATTATCAACTCGTAACACTAAAAACCTTCTCAATTCCCCAATCAATCAAGCATTTCTCAATGGCAATACCTAAATCTACTCCCTTATGACTATCAATCGGACAAAAATTCAAGATCTTTTTATGCAACTTCCAATCATTATCAATAAAATGAGCTCGTTAAACACATGTAATTGATTCTTTGAATAGATGTCCATGTGTCCGTAGTAAGGCTAATTCTTTGACTATTTTGTTTCAAAAATTGCTTCAACTTTATTTTCTCATCTAGATAAATTTGATAGCAATCTCTTGAAATTGTAAAACGAGATGGAATCTTGAATCTAGGTTGCAAATTAGACAAAAACGTTTTGAATCCCCTACCCTCTATATGCTTAAATGGAAGCTCATCTAGAATGATCATTTCAGCTAAATATTTTCTATTAACATTTTGATCAAACTTCCATATGGTAAGATTGCTTTCTCCCGCTTCAAGCTTTCTTAGGTCTAATTGAGTTTGGGTAGAGTCAATACAACTAAAAGGGTTTTTTTCGCAAGTCAAAACATGAGACGTAAGTGAAGTTGTCCCATTTTTTGAAGGATTACAAGCAAATACCTTATCACAATAGTTACATTTAGCCTTCATGTTTTTCTTGTCATCTTCAAACTTTGTGAAATGATCCCACACCATCGATCTTGGCTTCATTGATTTCCTCTTCTTTCCTTTGCCACCGTCTTGAGTGTTACTTGGAGTCGCACTTAATCGTGGATTAGGATTGCTTGAATCCACAGCTTCATAATTCATCTCTATGGATTGAGATTGCGACATCTACATAAAAACATAGAAGAAAAAGTATTAAGCTTCACATTTCACACTCCTTAGTCCTTAAGCTTAAGCCAAAAAAAAAAAACAATCTAGTTACGCGGCGGCTCGCAGCCTACCGGCCGTCGGCAGTAGGCCCATCGCCGGCAGCCGCAGGGCTAACCGGCCGCTCGACAGTAGAACATACCGAAGCAAAGAAGAAAAGCATCCGAAGTAGCGATGAATCGATTTGGTGGCGGGAGAAAATCGGTATGAGAAAACAATTGATGCAACCGAAATCATACATGATGAACTCACAAATGAAAAGGTCGGATAGATTTTTAGACACAACTTTCTCGCTCCTCGTGATTTTTTGTTTTTTTTTCTATTCTCCTTTATTTTTCTTTTTCTCGCAAGTATTAAAATCCGATAACGGCTGACCAAACGAGACAAACAACAAGCCACGGAGGAAAAGGAAAATACCAAGAATTGTAACCCAATAAACCTCGGTGAAGAAACAACTAAAGAAAGCCACCAAATATATGATCTCGAAGGGTGAAGAAAGTCAAAAAGATAAGATGGCAAAGGAAATTCGGAATGAAGAGGTCGACTTATAAATACTAAAGTATTAATTTTTAGTTTATACTTAAACTCTCAATTCAAATAAAATTGAAGCTTCGCTTTGATATGGCTACGTAACTCGATCTCCATAGCCGTTTCTTTTTTCATGGAAATGACGAGTAAATGATTTTAATTAAATATAGCTAATTAATTTCCTTCTTGATCTTTAATCGAGTAGTTTTTTTGGTTGGTAATCATCCTCGGCTTCCATCTCTTTATTATTATCATTACCATACACTCGTCACCATTATTATTCCATTACTATCACTATCTTGCTATAATTAACAACGAGAGAATAACTTTTTTAACAAACAATATATATATATATTTTTTTGAAGGAATCTTGTGCTAAAAACAAAAACAAAAACATAAATTCATATGCAAGTTTTCTTTATAAGATCTTATCTCATTTTTGTATCTAAATTATAGATTCTTTAGAAGAAAGAACTGAATTTCTTTTATTCATCATTATATTGTAAATAGGATTGAATTTTAGAAAATAGAATAAGGATTCCTATCTTTTAAAATAGATAAAAATTGAAGTATCTTTTAATGTTTAATTGTTAATAATATTTATTAGAAAATAATATAGAAAAAACCGTAATTGAGCTTATATACGTGTGTGTGTGAATCGAAGATTTAGTTCTCTTTCTACAAGTGAGAGGTCATGACTCATATAAGACAATTTTATACTACAAGCAAGAATAACAACTCAAAAAAGTATAAAATTCGGATCATTATCTTTTGAATTGGAATAATATCTTTAAGCTCTATGTCACCCACATCTCCGGGGAAGCAAAACTTTGCTCCCACTTCACCTGAGCCCCTACGCTTGGTATCTTGTTCCCGTATTTAATATTTTTTTGGTGTTGTTTAGTTATAAAAATAAAAAATTCAGAATAAAAATATAAAATCGAATGAAAATTAAGAAATTAAAATGATTTTTTTCTAATACCGTATTTTAAATAATAATAAAAAATTAGAATGTTGTTGAACCTCATGTATTTTGATGATAACAAACTATGGGTTTCTCTCTGTCAAATTTCATTTAGGGTGCAAGATTATCTTTATAAAGGACGATAAACGAATTTATGACTCGTCAAAGTAATAGATCTAGCACAAGCCCATAAACCTATAAAAGAAAACAGAAAAGTTCTCTATGAATCAAGGCCCATATATATATCTTGATTAAAATGATTATGGATCATGGAGTAAATCAAGCATCTCATGGAAATGACGAGTAAAAATACAATTTAAAGGTCCTATAGATACTTCTATAATGAGAATGGCTAACCGGATCAACTTGTGTTTGGATGATAAATAAGTTCATAAATGGCATGACGAAATTGTAAACACCGATGCAATTTAAAAAATAGGTAAGCAATGAAAGGACTAGTGAATACCTTTACCAAACTGCTATCGAGAATGAGACTATCAAAGAGAGCTTTCCGGCGAGGCAACGGCGAGTCGGCAGCGAGGCGGCGACTAACGAGGGCGGCGTCTAGCGGTAACGAGGGCGAGCATCCGGCGAGTAGCGAGGCAACGTCGCGGCGAGGTAGCAGGCTAGCGACGAACGACGGCGACGACGAGGCGAGCGAGCCGACAGCTAGGGACTTAGGGTTAGTGGATTTGGTATTTGACTATTTTGATGGAAATGTCTAAATGAGAAGAGAAACGAAAGAGTGACTCGAGTGAGAGTCCGAGAGTGAGAGAGTGAGAGTGAAATCGAAATAGGAATTTAGGTTTTTCGGTTTGAACCGAAATTTATGAATAAATTTTGGTTTTCGATTTGAATCGAATTTTTTTAAAAAATCGAACCGAACCGAAATAAATTTCGGTTTTTCGGTTCGGTTATAAATAATAAATTTTAAATTCAAAACCGAACCAAATATCTTAAAACGGTTCGGTTTGATTCGGTTTTTGGTTAATCGAACCGTTTGCACATCCCTAATGATTGATTATAATTCCTTTAAATAATCATAGCAAAAACCCTTAATTGAAAGAAAGGTAAAACT